TAAAAATATAATTAATTAATTAATTCAATTATTCTACAGCTGGTTTATGATTTCATTCTAATATAAACACAGCAAGTAAAATTGTTAATAAAAACTTTCATAGCAAAAGTAACAAAACTCCAGAAAAATATGCGAATATAAGAAGTCAAGTACGGCTTTGGATCAGTTGGTTAAGGCGCACTGACTCTGAGCTCCAAATTTGGCAGGACACGAGTTCGACTCGTGGTACTTGTAGTAGCAAAAAATTATTTACGAATAAATAAATACAAAAATTATTTTCAAGAACGCTGATGTTGGGTATTTTGGCAATACTCGAAACAGCTGTATGGTCAGTCAAAAATTTAATTACTTAAAATAATATAAAAAAATAAAATTTTTGTTGTTATAGTTCACTACTGTTCGAAAAACGTCTTTATAATATTATTATTAAATAATATTCGCCAACCATTCGAAATAAGAATTTTCAAAATTGATAGTAACTGCTACATAGGTATAAGTATTTTAGAGTTTAGTACATTAATGTAAAGCTTGAACTTATAAGGGTAATCTAAATAAATTGCAATTATCTCAAAAAACTTCATTTATATTTAAATTAAAATTTAATTGAACCAAAAGAAACAAAATACTTCTTCAAATTTATTACAAATTATCTATGGCTGCCTTTGGGGCGAATTATAAGTTCTTTGTTGATAAACGAGTCGTTTGTGGAAGGAATGTGAATCTGTAAAATCTTCGTCCATTCACGAAGAAGAACTGTGTTGAACACGTATACTCTAATAGTACCAGCATTGGTCTACAAAATTCTTCAGTGCCGAAAGACGAGGTCGAAATAAGATCTAGAACTCGTCGTCATTTGACGGTGCCAAATTTTATTAAAACGTCGTCTTTTTCTAAATTTTAGAGGTGTTTAAGCTCCTGTGACTATTAGAATATCTAAATTTCTTTTAACTATTCTATTTAATTAAATTGGATTTGTACAATTAAAACAGCGGATTCGCTTTAAGTTTATTTCACTTTAAGTTTAAATTCAACAAAACAAAGTTCCTATTGTTACATAAAATTTAATTGATTAATTTATCTTTTTTTTCGCCTATATCCATCCGAATCCCACCTCGAAGTTCGTTGCTGTGCGAGCGAGGAGAAAATTTTATATCAACTTATGGGTTAGTGTCCATCGTTGTCATCTGGGATTCAAAATCTTCGGGATACTTTCTCTTACTGTCCTGACAGAGCTGGCATCTCGCAAAATGATTGATTTAGCTAAGTTTATAGAATTTGTTTCCAATACCGGTACATCCAAGTTAATCTCGTTCAAACTCTGTTAACCCCCTCTCTCTTTTTCTCTCTCTTCATTTCTATTAGGAACCCTATGAATAAGAATGACAGATAACATTTCTTTTAATGTCAATTGAATTTGAATTTAAATAGGGAAATACAGATGTTATGAAATACACAGAAAGGACGAATATGCATAGTTGACGAATGCTTAATGTTCGGGCAACGCATTCTTAATGAAATTCATCGAGGTCATTAAAGGCACAGGTCGTACAAAGATCAACTATCAGATCAGCTATCGTCAATGAAAAGTGCTTAGCATTTCGACTCTACCAAACACCATCTATGAATGTTCAATAATCAAACAAAGAATTCGATAAATTTCATGCCCCTTAACCTGAGAGGCGCAATAAGGCAGTTGTTCCGTATAACCGACCACTGCGTATCAGAAATCCTATTGATCGATTTCGACTCTATTAAATCACCGCCATTTTAGATTCAATCTCAAAAGGGAAGGTGTTGGCAACCCTATAAATAAGAATCACACGTGACATTTCTTATGTCAACCGAATTTGAATTTTAAAAGAGAAATAAAAATATTGTGAAATACACACTACGCCAATAACCGAGTAAGTTTGCTTAATTACAAACCAGCAGATTCCTTAATCTCTAATTGTATTATCAGCAGATTGTATAAAACTCTGTAGGTATTGGCTCTGTCATAGAATGGTCTAAAAGTTTTATGCAGTAAAGGTAACCGATAGGTATAGAGATTTTATCGTGCCTGAAACATCAATTCTTCAGCATCATGATAATAATAACATTATACGGTACACTAACCTTCTAACTTTCTTTGAAACATTTCTACCTTTCGCTCACTTTCATTATTATGTCTGTGAAACAAATTAGAGTTATTTTATAATAAAAGTATATTTTTACTAGTTTATGTTTATGTTATTTTAAAACTCTATTGCTCTGGTTAACTATAAAGATTAGCCTATATTTTATGATTAATTACTTAATTTAAGTAATTTGATATTATCTAGTTGCTATATATATACATATATATGATTAACATTACTAATAAAAAAAATATGTATACATTATATTTTTCTGCTAGTAATGTTACCATTATATATACGTATATTTATATACATATGTACATACATATATTATTTTTTTATCAGTAATGTTGTACTACATGCTTTAAAGGGTTATGGAGGTGTGTTACACACAATATTTGATATATTTATTTCATTATATTTAAATAATATATACTGCATATTATAAATTCCTATAAAAATGTTTATTTATATGACTTAAGACCTTTTTTATAATTGCTGCATTTTTAAAGTTATTTTACTGCGCAATATGCAGTAATATATGCAATCCTATTATGTTTTAAGTAACTACTCTCCTTTCAATATATAATAAGTTCAATGACTCCATTGCAACTCAATCAATTGAAAATTAACCCCTTAATTAATTGGAAAATTAAAAATATTAACGAAATATTTAACATTATCCTTGCAGCATCCGCTAAGTAAGAGCATGCGCCCTATCGAAATTGGTAGTGGATACTTGTTGCCAACACACTTACAAATAGTTAACAGCAACTGCCAACAACGTTAGCCACTAACAGTGGCAAGAGAGTGGCAAGAGAGCAGTGTAAATAAAATAACATTACAGTAACAGAGCTTACACATGAAACGGAAGTGCACAGGTTGGAGTTGCCAATATAAATCAAAACAAATTAAATCCTATAAGAATAATAAAGTAAATAAAATGGAAACTTCATTCGCACGGCACAATATAGAAAAACGTCGTCTAATAGATTTGGTGCATTTGAATCCAATATTGTGGGATTGTCGGCTGCCGCACTATAAACGGTCCGATAAGAAGAAGGCTATTAAATGGAATGAACTTGGACGTGTTTTTAATGTCAGTGGCGAAAGAGTGCAACGCACTTTCACATCATTGCGTGAAATCTTTCGGCGAGAATTAAACCATGAAAAATTGCTCGGGAGTCATTTCAAATCAAAGTGGGAATATTACGATGCAATGACATTTCTGAAGGAAGTTATACGTGAACGGAAGTGAGTATTAGAAAAATAGATATTTATATTGAAATTGTAATTTATTGAACTTACTATGTTATAGATCCCGTGAGCGTCCACGACAAGCAGACCTACAACAACACAGTAACAATAGCAGTGCTATAGATGAGTATCAATATTTTGCACCGAACGACCCAAATAATCCAAATAATCAACATCAGCCAAAGCAAACACAAAAAATGCAACAGACAAATACACAAAAGGAAAATGTCAATACGAATGAAACAAATATACAACTATCAACAAATACAAGTCAACCCGATGTTGTACTCGGTGTAAACAACAACAAATATACAAAACGTACATCAAATGGTGGACCACCATCTCCACATACTATATCCACAATACCCTCCTGTTCTTCATCACCATCAATTTATATAAAAGAAGAAGATGATGACGAGGAAAATAATCTAATTATACAAACCCCACCACACCCGCATAATTCTAATAAAAATTCAACTCCCATTGAAAATGCAAATAATTTAACTAATCAAGAATTTCATAATCAAAATTTTAGTATGAAATCCAAACAAAATAAAATTCAACAGCAAACAATGTCGAACAATTTGATCAATGATATTGATATCGATGATGACGATCTTGTTGATGACGATGTGGAAATGATTGATGATCACCTATCCAGTGCTAGCACGTTGCAGGTTCTTAAGCATCAGCCAACAGCACGTGAAATACTCTACACAAAATTCGGTGAATTCTTATCTGCCAGACTGAATACTCTGAACGAGACTGCTGCAAATGATTTAATCAACAAGATACTTCTATTAATCGCAGAAAAATAAAATTATCCAAGTAATATTTCCTTTAGTCCAAATTTTCGTTTTAGTTATTAAGTCAACAAAACTCTTTAGACTTTCAAGCAGTGATATTCGAATTTTTTATCTTTTAGAGTTCAAAACTATACTCAGATCAAAGAAAAGTAATTATTACATTTAGATGTGTCTTTTTGTATTTAGTAAGCATATAATTCTAAGTTCAATATAAATTTATATATACAAAAATTTATATTATAAAACATATAGAAAATTAAATTTATAAACTTTATGTAGTAAAATTTAAAGTATTTCTTAGAAGCAGACCGAATTTTATTAATTACCATATAAGAGAAAGAGTTTTTAAAATTAGAATATTAAGTATACTCTCAGCTTTGTAATAATGTTTAGATAATTTTATAATTTTTCATATTTTTATTTATTTTATAAAATAAACTTTATAATTAATTATTTCTTTTAATTAGAAATCAACTATTTTCCTATTTAAAATAAAAATAAATACATTTCAAAATTTAATTTGAGTATTATATTAAGCAAGATTTATTTCTTTAGCTTGATTGAATAGTTGTATATATATAGTATATAGTATAGTGAAGTTAAAGGTATACATAAATAATCAAGAAAGTGAAATCCTGTTGTTCAATACATAAGGTAACTTTAGTCAATCGATATCGATAGACACAAAACACAAACGTTATTCTACCTTTAAAATACCGTTTGTTATGTGAAACTGCACTTAAGTCCAAGATCCAAGTATTAAAATTTAAAGTAATAATTGAATAATTCTGTACACTTTCTAGCATTTTTTCCACTTCAAGAGTTTGTCAGGTCTGCTTAATCTATTTTGTCAGAAAAATGCTGTATAATTTTTTTAAATTTAATTTTGCATTACTTCAATACCTTAGGTATATTTTTTTAATAACTTTATGTCCAATAAGCATATATCTTTAAACTCTGCAGTCCTTGGAGTTATAAGCTTCTTAAAACTCCCAACGGTACTCCAAAGACATAGAAGTACTATAAAAAGAATCTTTAAAAAATTAAATTTATTGATTATATATATTACTTTAATATCTTACATGAATTTCATAGTTTTTCTTCTCCATTAAGTTCTTGTGGTAGCAATTCATTAAGTAAAAAATATCTGTTTTATATTCTAAATGTTCTTGATTTTTTATAACTTACTTCCTAGGTCTTGAAATAAGTCAATTACATTTAAAAAAATTGTAGTTTACCCATCGCTGCTTTATGTTTCAGAGCAAAAATTAAATATAAAAGATAATTCACGACATGTTCATTAAAATTTGATATAGGAGATTTGGATTGGCTTTCGTATACGGGTATACGTGATTCGGCTGAAAAAGGCAATATTCCAGCAGTTATATTGTGTAGTTCCACTTCCTTAAGGAGCTGCGATGCAACATATTTTGGGGTTGTATCTGTATCTGTATTCATCTTATTATAACTTATAACAACTTATAATAAGAAATTTTTTTTAGGAATAAAACTATTCAAAAGAAATTAGTCTATTGAATCATTATCATATATATAATCATATATTACAGAAATTGCTCTGTTTACTTTGATTATGTAGATATGATATATAAATGTACGAGAGTTGTAATTCCAGTTTTAACGTAGTCAGTCTGTGTCATTTCACTAATGCAGTAAAGTTTTTGCTTCTCGATAACTTTTGGAATAAAATGGTATCTTAATAACAGTTGTGATAGATGCATAAACTTTTTTGGATTACGTGTGTATATTTCTGAGAAACTGAGAACGCGACTAATACGAAAGACCTTCACTTGCTATTTCTACAAATATTGTTTATCAGCAATATTGTTTATCATTATTCTTCGAGCTTCCATCACAAGACCATGGGTTTTATATATTATATTCAAAGTCGCTACCACATTTAGGTTAGAATCACTTACAAATATTGGCGGGGATTTGACTTCAACGAAAATCGTTTAATTACGTTTAAATACACCATAAAATGTAGCAGTTTTTATATTGCTCTTTCATTTAATATTTTTACATCAGTAATAATTTGTACTTTTACTCAGTGATTTCTTATCACCAGATAACGGATTTTATCCATCGTAGCTCAAGTGGCTTCTCTATGGATAAGGACCATTCAATATTCGTGATGTGTATACGACCTCAACAAAATTTTATGAATTACGTTTAAATAAATAATATATAATGAATATATAATAAATTAATATGTAATGAAGCTAAGTTTCCATATTGCTTGTATATTTAATATTTTTACAATATCAGCAATTTTGCGCACTTTAAATTGGTGCGCTTCCACCATGATTTTATCCATCTGGAGCCGTTTCCACTTTTTGGTTAATATCTGGTCTTCGTCTTCTATCTTTTCATGCAAAAACAGACTAATGGATCTTCACCAACTTAGTCAACCAACCACAACAAAACTCTGTAAAGTACTTTTAAAAGATGTCATATAATAAAGCAAAAGTTCCATATTGCTACAAGGGTCTTCTTTCTTTTAGAAATATAGTTATTCCTCTCATCAATAGTGAACATTTAACATTTTATGCAGATAGAATAAGTTGATACTAATAAAAGTGTTATATATTCTTGGCTTAGAGTAAGCAGCTGTTTAGAGTTAGTTGAACTTGCAAACGATAATAATTGAAAAAAAAGGTGATTGTTAAAGAAAGGACCTGTATATAATCGAAAAATTATGGAGTTCTTTTATTTGAAAGAAGAGGGAATTAAAATCATAAAAACTTCATTTCAGATTTCAAAATATAAACAAAAAAATTTACTAAAATTACTGATTCGCACTAAAAATTAAGGGGAAGTGGGTTTAACACCTTTTTAATTTATGTCGATGATACGTACTAATCTGTATTGACAGAAAATAAAAGTAGTGATTAATAAATATATTAAAATAATCAACCTAATAGAAAACTTCCCAAATAAAAAAATACTTTCGAGTTAGTTTAATTTTTGTATTACAAAAAAAAAAAAAAAAATAATTTAGTTAATTTAATTATTTAAACTAAAATTTTATTTAAATAAACTCGAAATTTTTTTCACTGTTTTTTTCCTCACACAAAAATGTTTGCAAATCCGTTTTAAGTACTTAAAATTTTCGTTTGTTTTTATTTTCGTACGCCTAAAAGTTGATAATCAAAATTGCTGCCAAGAAAGAAATATGGGCGATGCATTTAACTTTGTTACATTTTACAACGAAATCCATTTAACACATCCGATTTGGTACGTAAAAATGTTGAAGCATAAAGTTGGTTTGGGCGCCCTTAAATATGTTTTAAATCTTTTCTCTAGTTTTTTTTTGTGTAAGCCAAATGTTGTTCCTCCATATCGAGTGCGTGATATGTAACTTTTTGACTTCCGTTTAGAGACGTAGACCAGCGGATTTTCTGGCTGGCAGGCTGGGGTTTATTTGTTTGCGGAAAAGGCATGGAAAACTTGCAAAATAAAAGTAGTTGAATTTTACTTATTGTTTACATAGGAGAGTATGTGATTGTAAGTTTGTGGATATATGAAATTCATATATGGAAATGTATGGAAATATGAAAATCGTGTTCTCCAACGTTTGTGGGCGAGTAAAAAATCATTTCTATAACATATTTTTTTTTGTTTTTGCATTTAAACTATAAAATTTTTAAAATAATATTACATATATTAGAGTTTTTTTTGTTGAGTTTCTCAAGTGGTCTGAACAAAGTTTGAAGGGTGGTTTGTACGTATATGGCAACTGTGAAATTTATTAAATAAAGAAGGATTATTAGATTGTACATAACTTTATAAAAATATAAAGTAGCTTTTACGATAAATTTAAAATTGCATGAAAATAATAAATGTTTTAAAAACTTTTCAATACTTTATAGACCTTATTGCCAAAATTATTGAATAGTCTAATAACTTATAGTATTTATAATTACAGTATTTTAATAATAATATAATAATTAAAAATATTATATTTATTTATTATTAATATTTATAATATCTTTTAGTATTTTACTTATATATAATATAAATAATATTTGTATACTATTAATATCATTAACATATTATTTATATTACATATAATAATAATATAGTCATATATATAATATACAAGTGTACAAAATATATACTTATTTTAATATAATACAGTAAGACCCTGCTTAACGCCTGGGACACGTTCCATCAAAGTAGAGCGTAATGCGAAACAGCGCAAAACGAGGCAATGTTAACATGTAAATATTGGGGTTAGGGAAAGATTGATAGAAAATTGTTTAGGTATTAAATTTAATAA